CAACACTAAAAATGATTCGTAATATTGCAAGTGTGGTAACGGCTTAGCAGAAACCGCCATTTTGCCCCGTAGGTCGAGAACGAACACCAGAAAAATCTTGTGGTTTTTCTCGGTCGGTTAAAATCGCCAAGGATAACGATCTCTGCAGATGGGGTCCGTTGTAGCACGGAATCTGTAGCCATTTGGACGTGGTCAAGTAGTCGGTCTGTTTCAGTATTACCGCTATGAGACCTATAGAGGCACCCGTAAACTCGGGGATGATGGTCGCTGTCTACGCGCAGCCATAGGATGGACAGGTTCGTACCTTCAAGACTGCCGAGGCGTTGGAAACAGATGTCCTCTCTAACGTACACGCAAACTCCAGCCCGGGGCACAAACGAATGTTCTAATTTGTAACCCGAATAGGAGTGATATGAAGTATCAGCCGGAGAGGACACCTGAGTCTCGGTTAAAAAGAGCAAGGCTGGCTTCGCCGTCTCCAGATGGTAGTGGACAGCGTTATGGTTGGAATAAAGTCCCCTTAATTTTCAAAAATTCACGGATAGCGTGGCAGAGGTCATCTTGATGTTGTTGCTCCGCTTGCCCCAAGCAGTTTTTGTCGCGAGCGGAATTGCGCCACCCCCCACCCCACCCCCAGAATACTTGGGGCAGCCTGAGCACCCACGCTCAGGAAGAATAGGACAACTTTGTCGTTGATGCTCAGCGAGGGATTCTCCGTTACCGGGGGTGTTGCTACCCTCCTGGGGTAGTTCTCCATTTAATTCCGCTACCATATTGATAAAAAATTCAAAAAGTACCCAAATTTTAAAATTAAGTTCAAATAATTATATAAAGTTATTACAGTTTTTAAAGATACGAGTATATAAGGCTTCTACTTTTATTTGAAATGATCCCAAATTGAATGTGATTTATGGGCAACAACGTTTTCGCCTACCGATCAAACCTTACAAGTGTACGCATCCGCAGTAAAATCACTTAAAATAATACGGTACCACGCATTTTGAATTTAAAAGATAAAGAAGACAGAATGTTTAAATTTTTTTTATTAATTTTTCTTTATCATTCGCCTATATTACTTTTTGTACCTTTTTATCATACCATCTCTTCAAATTTGGCCGATTATTGCCAAATAACCGTGTTTAAGGCAATCTATGGCAGAGGCCATACGTTTAGCAATGGGATTTTAGTAGTTCGTGATAAATAACTGAACAAAATTACTAAATAAATCTCTAAATAATCTCTGTAAAATTTTCAAACTGTCAATAAATAACATAAATTAACTTTAAATTGCTATAAATTATATATAAATTATTGAATGGTTTATATCGGAGATACATAGAATTGTCGTTACAATTCCATTTAGCTGCGCCATTTGTGAATGTTGCAGGCTTAATGGATTGGTATCCATATGCTCTTGCATGTATGAATATTCAGGCTCTTAATGTATTTCTATGTCTAACTAACGCTTTCTATGCCTAGCTAACGCCCCTTGATCTTCATATAGACAAGTAGGCGAGGGCTAGTTTGACGCCAAAGGCGGTTAGAGCTTTTACTATAGATTGAAATACATGCTTTTAATAAAAAGTATACAGTGAAACTACCCTCTAGAGAAGACTGGCTGAATGACCAGGTCATCTATGAGGTCAGTAGCCTTATATGGTATACTGATGGGTCAAAATGTGCTTTAACGTAGGCTTTGGAATTTACGAGAAATGCCCAAATTCAAACTTAGTATGAGTTTGGGTAGATTATCCTCTATCTTCCAAGCGGAAATCTTCGCCATATTTCAATGTGTGAAAATCAATCTGCAAAAACACTACGTAGACCGTATAATCTTTGACAATCAAACAGCACTGCTGGCGCTGAAGTCAAACTTGGTGATTCCGAAACTAGTTGGAGACTGCGTGAACCGTCTTAACGCCCTGGGATGTAACAACAGTGTCGTTCTAAGACGGGTTTCGGGGCACGTGGTTATTGTAGGCAATGAACTTGTCAACAAGTTTGCACGGGAAGGCTCAAAGAGTACACAATTTGGACCCGAGTCATTTCGTGGAATCTCAAAAAGCCTAGGCCGATTGACCCTTAAAACTCTTTATCACCATAAATAACTTAAAATATCTTTATCACAATAAATTCCAAAACCTTCATTCCGGCTTTAGATCGTAAATTCGCTTCAGAAGCCCTAGGATTAAGTAAAAATAAATTGCGCATTCTGGCTAGAGCTCTGACTGGTTGTCTTAAAAAGCACATGTCCATCCTGGGACGAAGCAACTCAGAGATGTGCCGGTAGTGTTTCTTAAAGGAAGAAACGCCTATGCACATTAACTTAATCGATAACGGACCCTTAATGCGCAAACGCAACACTCGTCTTGGAAACTATGTACTCCGCCCAGAAGAATTTAAGTTGCTCGCAGCTAAGCAACGTCTTTTATTCATTGAATACTTCGGGCTTGAATACTTTGCAGTTAGCCATAGCCTTAGCAGCGATCACAATAGATCTTTTAAGTCTCAGTGATACTGTTACTGGCACGCACAGTAAAAAAATTTTTTTTACTGTGCGAGCAGCTATGCAGCTCTAGACATAGAAACCAGTATCACACGCATTGATTATGTGCTGTGAAGGTTCTGATGAGAGTAGGTCACACATTTAAAATATTTCAGATTATTCAGACTTCTGGAATTGGATGAAAACTCTATTAAAAAGTTGCATGAGGGTCCTATATACTAGTCAAGTTAATATAAAGCATGTAAAGAAAAAACAATCTAGAGTAAAAAGTTGATAAACGTATAAACGTTACATCCTACTAACTGTGTAATGGTTGTATAAGAATACCCACTACCCCATATCGTCCCGCATGTGTCGTAAGAAGCGAAAGAAGGAAAAAGAAACAAAAGATGGGCACCAGAATTTTTTGGATAACTAGTGTAAAAAATGCGGTTGTTAACTATGGTATAATTACTATGAGACAACTAAACTATGAGTGAGACCTATGTTCAGCAGTGGACTTTTTTAGGTTATAATGTATGGATGGATGAACATACTATTCACGTTCACTGCAGGATACACTGTTTAACATATGCTTCTGAGGTTTTCCCTCATCACTAAGCAGGTGACAAATATATAATCGTAATAACTCAGGGACTAATGCTCGGCGATTTTTTCACTGCACACGAGCAACCAGAGTTGTAACCCCGCGGCAGCAAGGGAATATTTTATATTTTAAGAATTTCAACTCGTAATAGGATCTTATCATGTTGTATGTGGCGTGGAAGCTTTTTTATTCATAAATACCTCACAAAAAACATTCAGGCTCGGAACTGTTATTTGTCGGTCATAAAAAATCTTTCTCCGTGCGGTATTTGAACCCACGAGCTTCGGCAACCATATGCTTAACTACTGCACTATGGAGTCATATTTTAATTCGTTATAAGTGTTTATAGCTTCATATAGAGAATAGATATTATAGTACCCGAAGTACTGAAGAAAAATAGCCTAATAGATAAAATTAAAATAGAATCCATTTTATATGATATTTTTCAACAACAATGGATACCTACTTGAAAAATGTAAGGGACCTACTAATTTCGTTTCTAAATAAGATATTTTAATAACAGGTCGATTACATAACGTATTATTATCTTAATGATTTCTTATATTTACACGAACATTACACATTGATAAGACTACGTCACTCCAATTAGAAATCAAATAAATTAAATGCGATAAAATCTGTAAAAGTAGTTGTAGTCAATGTATTTTTACCTTATTTTTGATATGTCGCTGTAAGATGTCCGAGGAATTACCATCACATCCCTTAATTATTTTTAAATTAGCCAACTGAACGGTTGTTATATAAAGACATAATCAAGCGTTTAACCTTTCTCCAGTCAGTTTCCAGGGAAACTAAAGATTTGGAATAAGAGTGACCATAACAGAGCCTCTTTCTAATTTGTTTGCCAGAAATCTTCCTATTATTGAGAAACACGTGTTAATATCATTATCAAGCTATAATAAATATATCATCATTGATTACAACCATTTCATAAATTACAAGCATAATAAATATATTTTATATTGTTTCTGTTTCTTTTGTTTCAATTCACAATATTTACAGGTTCGCATTTCATCTTGACTCCTGTAGAGGGCGCGGTGATGTAAACATTGTTTGTTCAAACGCTCGTCGAGTTTTAAAAGTGTAATCACGACAAAAATTAGACAAACTTATGTTAAAACAGTGCAGAATAGTGGAGACCCTGACTACAAGAGTTATCAAGTGAACAATTTCAAAAATAAAGGACAAAATAGCAAAACAAAGTGAGGTGAAGTGATGTGAATGACAATGACATTTTAAAGAAAAAACTAGCCGATGTGCTTTAAAAATCATGTGAACATTTAAAATTTGAATATTTTTTGCATTAAAAATAAAAAAAATAGTTTTCCGTTTAAAATTACACCGAAAAATTGCAAACCTAACCTAAAAAATCAAAATTGTCAAAGTCATCCCTAGACCATAGCACGAAAATTCGATTAGAAACTCGGCACACAACGACATCTAACGGATGACCTAAACAACAAGAAGTAGCAAAAAAGAGCGACATCTGTCTCCGCTCAGGGAAACTACTTCCAAAGCATACTTACACAAAAACGTCCAAAAGTTCACATAGTACAGCACTTTACTCACAGAGTGCATCACAGAGCTTAAGTATACAATGCGGCCTAAAGTTAACAGAGGGCGCCACTATGCCGGAAATAGAAAAACTTTTAGAACTAAGATTAGATATTAAAAGAGACACTGAAGAATCACTGCTGAATTTATAGACCAGTATCACGAGCAAAATAAATGATAAAATAGACCAAAATTTTAACTTCTTACAAAGGGAACATGAACGAATTAAGGAAACTAACTCCAAACATGACAAAAGAATTAGTGCCATAGAAAAACACATTAGGCAAAGGAATATTCTTCGGGGTACAAGAAGGTGAAAAATCATGTCAGGAGTTGGAAGGAACCGTGTTACAAACTATTAAAGACGAGCTTAAGCTGGAATGTGACAGAAAAGAATTAGAGACGGTCCGGAGAATGGGAAAATACTTAAAAGACAAAGTGAGACCTATCGTCGTAACATTTACAACGTACGGCAGGAAGATTACAATTTTGAAAATCAAGAAATATATACAAACGAAAACTATTTATATGAAAGAAGATTTTTCCACCTCAAATCAGTTACAAGAACAGTTAAAAAAAGAGAAGGAAGCCGGAAAAATAGCCTTCCTGCGATACGACAAACTTATAGTTCGAGAACTATCCATGAAAGACAGCAGAGAAACAGAAGAAGAATAGACAAACAAAACCGAAACAGAAAAAACTAGGAAAAAAGAGAGAGTTAGAAATAACCCCTCCCCCACCAGTTAGATTCTCAGAATAGATTCAAACAAGAACACCGCACAACAACAAGCAATAAAAAAGAATAAAACTCAAACAAATGGGAAAAAAAATCAGAGCTCTATGAAAAATTTCTTCACTAATCAAAATGTTATTTCAACTAAAAAACCCGAGGAAGGGGAAACTCCTTACTCTTCAAATGATTCTGATGAATAGCAATTAAGAAAACTCCAGAAAAATGAAAACACTGCACCCTCTAAAACAAAAAACAAACGTTATATTTCAAAGACAAACACAAAACCTACAAATCCTCCCCCCAGAACGGCTCGTCACCGCGGGGGTTGTGGACGACCACCCTCTAAACCTAAAAAAATATTATATATCTACATTCAATCTCAGATCATTAGCAAATGATGCAAGAATAGCTGAATTGGAATACGCGATATCGCAAATTAATTGGGTCATTATCGGTATAGCTGAAGCGAGAAGACTGGGTTATAAAATAGAAGACAGGGGAAGATATCTTCTTTATTACTATGGGGAAACAAAGGGAGAGAAAGGTGTTGGATTCCTGGTAAAGAAACAAAACAATACAGAAGTACATGATTTTATAGCGATATCCGAGAGATTACAAGTAGGTATATACGGAAACAAATTCTCTATAATCCAAGCATATGCACATTTGGAGGAGGCTTTCACCGCAAAAAGGTGGTCCTTACACCTAACAATACTAACCTTATTTAAAAACAAAACGAACATAGCTAACAAATAAATAAACAAGCATACATTATAGTAGATAAGAAATACATACATGTAAGGGATTAAATAAAGGTAATAATAATAATAATTTCATCTTGAAGTGTTTTAGACCATAGGCGGACAAAATATTTCTTATATGAAATTTTTTGGCCTCAGCGACCGGGCTTTAGTTGTTTTAAGTAATATATAGAGTGAAAATGAAATTTTTCGCAACTTTCATGCACAAATAAAAATCATGAGTGTGATAATTGTACAATTAATTTATAGGCTATACCCAATGGCATAATTATTTAATTTTTCGATATTTCTCTTCCGTCAATAATTCTTATCAAATTTATGGGTCGCATTGAGGGTGATCCGTCTCTTGCAGTGACATCAAACTGCAAAACTCGTTAACTCTATATAGATAATGAAATTGGTTGTTGTTAACTACTAGCTGAATTTTGTAAAGTAAGCTATATCTATCGTTCGCGAAAATTGATTTGTTTCCCATATTTAAATTATAAATATCTATAACAGATAAAGTAGTACTTTTCAAAACGGCAGGTTATAGAGAATGGAATTTAACTATAACATAATATCAAAATCATTTACGTCTATTGAATAACAAGAGTAGAGTCTTACTACATGCTTGACAGTGATGGAACAATATTTTTAATTAACTTAAAATTTGTAAGCGGTACGTTATTAATTCGGTAGTATATAAATGCGAGTCATTAATCCTAAGTTATAGCTAGTATAAAATTAGGTCTAAGAAATTATATTGTACTTAATATTTTATGGTCAGTTGTTTACAGAAATATTCTACTTAGATATCTTTTCAAATATAACTGGCAATAATGATTTCTTATATTTACGCGAACACTACACATTGATTAAAACTGCTTTTACGGATTTTATCGCGTTTAATTTTACGAAACGTCGGGAATTAAAAATAAAAATAATTAAAATTAAATCTAAACGCGATAAAATCTGTAAAAGTAGTTTTAAATGGCAATCTGTCGCCACCCCAAAAATAATGTGCTTTTTGGTAACTTTTGCATTGCATCCGTTAACTGAGAGAACACTCTCTTAGACTACTTTTTGCAGATAAGTTTCACCACTTATTCCGCATTCTTGTATTGTTCAATTTCCAAAAAAAGGCTTTTATGTATTTGATATTAACAAAAAAACTTTTATATACTACACTTATTACATTACATTTCACGTCACTTACACCGTATACATTATAACTTTATTCACTATACAATAAGATACACATTTTATTGAAATAATTCTAAAATGTCGCGCTACGCCATGCTGGGCTTCGATATGCCTCGCGGCGTAGCGCGGCGCATCAGGACGCAGCAGTACTTCGTCGGTAGGCGTAGTAAGCAAGAGCAGTGCACTGCCAGCAACTTCACGATGAGCCTCGCGACGTCGTGGTGCTTCTAGCGGCGGTGCGCTGCACCGTGCGAAACCACTGGCCTCTTCAAGCATCGTCGCGTCGCATCTCGGTGTGAACTGACCTTGAGGAATATCAGAATCTTAATGCCGTATAAACAGTTACAATTAAAACTTTATCTCCTACGTTGCAATGTTTTTTTTTTACCAATAATTTTGTGTCTGAATATTATATAATAGGAAATTATAAATCGTGGTTCGATATAAATACTGAACAGAACAAAAAGCAACAGAAACAAGACATACTATCGTAGTTCTCTGTACCGTTTCTCAAATAAGGAGACTGGTTAAATTTATTTCATATGCATTTGCTTTTAAAAATAAAAAGCTCAAGTTCTCACACATGAAAAGTGACTAAATATAGAAGAAATTGTATAATGAATTGTTGTGTCCGTTTATATATATATATATATATATATATATATATATATATATATATATATATATATATATATATAAACGGAAGTAGTTTTTTGGAACACCAGCGTAAACTAGCAGCTTAATGCTGCCGTGTTTCGTATGGTTACTGTAGAGAACTGGAGACTTTTTACTGGAAACGAGGTATTCCGTCTCTGTTGTCAGGGATAACATCGCATCTGCATTTTATTTCTAAATATAGATATCTATGGACCACAGTATCCACTTACCATCAGGTGGACTGTATGGTCGTTTGTCACCCTTATTCTATAAAAAAAAGTTTTAAAATTTCTTATGTTTACGCGTACACTACACGTATAAATAAAACTACTTTTTGCGGATGGTATCGCATATATTAACTTATTTTATACACCGGACTTTTTGAGCACTTTACAGTACCCATGATCACGAGGATATCGAGGTATTCGACGTCCCAATGTCATAGTTAACCACGACTACCTACATATTAAAATAAATAACTTTTGTTCCAATCTTTGCACTATGAACTTATAATATCTTGAAGTCTTGCAGTTGTATGCTTGGGTTGCAATTTAATTTTATCAATTATAGGATCCCAAGCAGACGGTAGTATCCAGCCCTCTTATTTTTTGAAATTAGGATTTTTTTTTGAATAACAATAGTCTCGCGAATCATCCTTGGACGGAATCGGTGTTCCTTAGCGAGGATTTGTGGACTATCAAATATGATGTAGTGACGGAGCGATTCTGTACATGTTAACAGACTGCAGACTTTCCGGAACGTCAATTCTCCACATGAGCTATTTGTTGTTTAACGCGGGTTTTTATATATCTTTTTGCTTGTCCTACGTAAGAAACACTACATTCACAATAAAGCTTGTACACTCCGGCATCTAACAGAGTAACATTACACTTGACTGAGGAAAAAAACTGACTAATCTTTTTCGGCAGCTTGAATTTCATTTTCATGGAAGCATGCTTCAAGATGTGGGCAAGCTTGTCAGTGACAACTCTGATATATGGCAGTACAGCAGGAACATGCTAGATTGTGGCCGGCTTCACTCGTTTACTTTGACGTAGGCGCGAAATACGAAACTTGTTGAAATACAAAACTTGATCGACGTGTTGGAGCTCGGTGACCAGGTGTTTACTATCACAGATCCCTCGTGCTCTCTGAAACAAAAATTTACAAACGGTAGCTATCTGTGGAGGGTGGTGGTGAGAATCACCGCCTAAATGTCTATCTGTATGGGTCTTTTTTCTATACACAGTGTGGCTCAAGGTGTTACTTAATATGTACTTATAAGTGTAAAATGTAATTCTTGAACCGTAAACTTTAAATATCCAAACTTTAAAACGAATCAAAGCGCACATCATTTTTATTTTCAATAAAATTGTAATTTTTTTTCGTCAGATGACTCAGCCCACCCTATGTTTTAAATGGCTGGATGTTGATAATCAATTCAATCTTGACGTTTAATTAAAGTGCCAAGAAATTAATTGACATACATGACGTTTACAAATTGCCGAAGACCTTCACATTGACCTTGACAAATAATAATGCCTAATATTTCATATACAAGTAACATAAGGATTTTGTTATAAGTCAGATAAGAGGACCGAAATAACATAAATGCTTTTATAGCGCCGTAAATGTAGCGACATTTACTGTGTCACAAAAACAACCAGAAAGTCAATCAAATCTTTATTTGCGAATACAATCATCAATAAAGGTATTTTAATATTATATATTATTTCTTATATATTTAGCCACTTTTCATGTGTGAGAACTTAAGCTTTTCATTTTTAAAAGCAAATGCATATGAAATAAATTTAATCAGTCTCCTTATTTAAGAAACGGTACAGAGAACTACGATAGTATGTTTTGTTTCTGCTGCTTTTTGTTCTGTTCAGTATTTATATCGAGTTGCAACGTAGGAGATAAAATTTTTATTATTACTATTTATACGACATTAACATTTTGATATTCCTCAGGGTCAGTTCACATCAAGATGCGACGCGACGCGACGCGACGATGCTTGAAGAGGCCATTGGTTTCGCACAGTGCAGCGCACCGCCACTAGAAGCACCACGACGTCACGAGGCTCATAGTGAAATTGCTGCCAGTGCACTGCTCTTGCACACTACGCCTACCGACGAAGTACTGCTGCGTCCTGATGCGCCGCGCTACGCCGCGAGGCATATCGAAGCCCAGCATGGCGTAGCGCGACATTTTAGAATAATTTCAATAAAATGTTGTATACTTTTGTGTAGTAAATAAAGTTATAATGTATATATATATATATATATATATATTTATAATTATAATGTATATATATATATATATATATATATATATAT